TTCTATTAAAAATATATTAAAACACGTTAACTTTTTAGTTCTTATAATTTTTTTTTTTTCAGAAATCACTCATTATTTTATCCCAAGATTACCTATTAATTTACCAATTGAGTTACATTTTTTACATATTAAATATTAAAAATTATATAATTAAAATATTTTTTGTTTTATCTGTTCAATATGATACTTATATATTAAATTAAAAAAACTAATATAGTAAATAATAAAGTTATTTAAAATTAGAAGAATAAAGATTTTTTTTTTTAATCTACATGTATAAATGTACAAATAACTATTGTCTATCACCTCAAATTTACACATAAAATTAATAAGAGCAAAAAACTAACAAGCTTTTAACAACACAGTTCGATTACATCGATAAGTATATTTTTAGAAGGTTTATATTTAGTTATATTAATTATATTATTTTTGTTTATTAGTTGTGTTTTATATTTATTAGTAAGTGTCACAACTTAGTTATTATTCATATTATTTCTTATATTTAATATTTTTTTAAACCTTTATCTTGTTCTTTCACATGTTCTTAACTGTAGATTTGTCACAAAAGACAAAATATAAAGTATAGAATTTTTTCGATCATCTGCCTCATTATATATCAAATATTTGTATATCATATATTATATTATACGTAATTACAATTTTTTAATTAATATTTTAATTAAATATTTACAATTCATAAATTCATTAATAATATTGTCGAGTCAACTTTTGTTCATAAAATTTTTAAAAATATATTATTTTCATTGATTTGCTTATGTTGAATTGAGAAAAGTTATGTTTTTTAATTACATATAGGGAGGATATAAGATTTCTTATATTTTTTATGTAGTATTTATTGAATAATTGTGTTTACAATTTTTCTATTAAAAATATATTAAACACGTGAACTTTTTAGTTCCTATAAATTTTTTTCATAAATCACTCATTATGTTATCCCAAGATTACTTATTAATTTACCAATTGAGTTACAATTCTTACATATTAAATATTTAATAATTAAAATATTTATTGTTTTATCTGTTCAATATGATACTTATATATTATATTAGGAAAACTAATATAGTAAATAAAAAAGTTATTTAAAATTAGAAAAATAAAGATTTTTTTTAATCTATATGTATAAATGTACAAATAACTATTGTCTATCACCTCAAATTTACACATAAAATTAATAAGAACAAAAAACTAACAAGCGTTTAACAACTCAGTTCGATTAAATCGATAAGTATATTTTTAGAAGGTATATATTTAGTTATATTAATTATATTATTTTTGTTTATTAGTTTGTTTTATATTTATTAGTTAGTGTCACAACTTAGTTATTTTTCATATTATTTCTTATATTTAATATTTTTTTTAAAACTTTATCTTGTTCTTTCACATGCTCTTAATGGTAGATTTGTCAAAAAAACACATAATATAAAGCATAGAATTTTTTCGATCATCTGCCTCATTATATATCAAATATTTGTATATCTTATATTATATTATATTTAATTACAATTTTTTAATTAATAATTTAATTAAATATTTACAATTCATAAATTCATTAATAATATTGTCGAGTCAACTTTTGTTCATAAAATTTTTAAAAATATATTGTTTTCATTGATTTGCTTATGTTGAATTGAAAAAAGTTATGTTTTTTAATTATATATTGGGAGGATATAAGATTTCTTATATTTTTTTATGTAGTATTTATTGAATAATTTACATCGATAAGTATATTTTTAGAAGGTTTATATTTAGTTATATTAATTATATTATTTTTGTTTATTAGTTTGTTTTATATTTATTAGTACGTGTCACAACTTAGTTATTTTTCATATTATTTCTTATATTTAATATTTTTTTAAAACTTTATCTTGTTTTTTCACATGTTCTTAATTGTAGATTTGTCAAAAAACACATAATATAAAGCATAGAATTTTTTCGATCATCTACCTCATTATATATCAAATATTTGTATATCCTATATTATATTATATTTAATTACAATTTTTTAATTAATAATTTAATTAAATATTTACAATTTATAAATTCATTAATAATATTGTCGAGTCAACTTTTGTTCATAAAATTTTTAAAAATATATTATTTTCATTGATTTGCTTATGTTGAATTGAAAAAAGTTATGTTTTTTTATTCATATATTGGGAGGATATAAGATTTATTATATTTTTTTATGTAGTATTTATTGAATAATTGTGTTTACAATTTTTCAATTAAAAATATATTAAACACGTGAACTTTTTAGTCCATATATTTTTTTTTTCAGAAATCACTCATTATTCCCAAGATTACCTATTAATTTACCAATTGAGTTACATTTCTTACATATTAAATATTATATAATTAAAATATTTCTTGTTTTATCTGTTAATATGATACTTATATATTATATTAAAAAACTAATAAAGTAAATAAAAAAGTTATTTAAAATTAGAATAATAAAGATTTTTTTTTCTAATCTACATGTATAAATGTACAAATAACTATTGTCTATCACCTCAAATTTACACATAAAATTAATTAGAACAAAAAACTAACAAGCGTTTAACAACTCAGTTCGATTACATCGATAAGTATATTTTTAGATGGTTTATATTTAGTTATATTAATTATATTATTTTTGTTTATTAGTTTTTTTTGTTTATATTTTTTCGTACGTGTCACAACTTAGTTATTATTCATATTATTTCTTATATTTAATATTTTTTAAAACTTTATCTTGTTCTTTCACATGTTCTTAACTGTCGATTTGTCAAAAAAGACATAATATAAAGTATAGTATTTTTTTGATCATCTACCTTATTATTTATCAAATATTTGTATATTCTATATTATATTATATATAATCAAAGTTTTTAATTAATATTTTAATTAAATATTTACAATTCATAAATTCATTAATATTGTCGAGTCAACTTTTGTTCATAAAATTTTTAAAAATATATTATTTTCATTGATTTGCTTATATTGAATTGAGAAAAGTTATGTTTTTTTTAATTATACATAGGGAGGATATAAGATATGATGACATTAGTATATTACCAATTTGCCATTAAAAACATGTGAAAGTAAGGGTTTTTTAGGTAGTTCATTTTTTAATTAAAAATATAAATAAAATATGATGTGTATTACTGTATTACTAATTTTCTCATTAAATTTATGTAAAGTAAGGGTTTCTTAGGCATTATGAATTTTTACAAAAACACTCCTCCTTTTAAAGTAGTATAGATGTGAAAACAAACTAGTTAGAGTATTTTTTGGAGTATAAATACTTGCTGAGCATGAGTTGTAATTAAGAGAAATGTTAAGGTCCCGTTACGGAATCAATTCAGGATTTGTAATCGTTAGAACCGTCAGTCAGAGATAGTTGATCTAACGGTTACAAATTTAGACGGAATGATTCCGTAACGAGACCTTACCATCTTCCTGTAAATAAACTTATAACCATTTTTTTTTTTTTTTAACGAAATGGGCGATTTGAAGGGTGTGCAACATACATTCATTTTCTTCAGAATCTCATATATAACAAGCCAAATCCAAAAGTGACTGGGTAATCATCAGAAACTATATATAGAAATATGATCGTGAGTTAGTTAGTTTATACAGACGCTCCTATAAGGACTCTGCACCTCTGTTTTTCTTCCATTTTAGTTGAAAACAAGCAAAACTCACAACCATCCATCGTTGTCTCTCTCTATACAAACATTAATTTCCTTGCTTTCTCTCTCTCTGTATCATCTTCTCCCTGGCACGCAGACAAAAAGGAATCCAATAAAGTATAATGTTCACCTCCTTCTCTCAACCATCTCTGCCGCCGGACATTTGATAAGTTGGCCCAAAAAAGGAACTCTTCTCCATCCATCAATGGGTCGTCTTGTGGGCCTCTCCAACACAGGCCCCGGCCCCGGCCCGATCAGGACCCACCCATCCCCACCCTCGCCTTCCTCTACCGACCTCTTCTCCCCGTTGGGGAGCCTTGACGGCCTCGATCGGGGGGACTTCTGTGAGGCCGCATATGAGGTGTTCTTCACGGCCTGCCGCTCGACACCGGGTTTCGGGGGACGGACGGCCATATCATACTATTCGGATGGGGACGTGACGGGGACGGGGACTGGGACTGGGCCTGGGACGGTGAAGGCCCCGGGCGTGGGGATGGCTGTGACGAGCCGGGTGAAGAGGGCGTTGGGACTGAAGATGATGCGTCGGTCGCCGTCGTCTAGACGGGCCAGCTCGTGCGGGTCAAACCCATTGTCCCCGAGCGGGTCAGGGTCGAGCCCGAGATCCAGCCCAAGGTTGGGCCCTCGGCTGAGGCGGCCCATGACGTCGGCAGAGATCATGAGGCAGCAGATGAGGGTGACAGAGCAGAGCGACAACAGGCTGCGGAAGACTCTCATGCGCACGCTTGTAGGCCAAGTACGTAATTGTAATTATGAAATCAATGTCCATGTCTTTGTTGACCTAATACTCATGTTTCTTGTTTTCTTGTCCACTGGTAGATGGGGAGACGAGCGGAGACCATCATCCTCCCCCTGGAGCTCCTCCGCCACCTCAAACCCTCGGAGTTCAGCGACCCCCATGAGTACCACCTGTGGCAACGACGACAGCTGAAGATCCTTGAGGCAGGCCTCCTCCTCTATCCCTCCACCTCCCTCGACCCCTCCGACACCTTCGCTCCCAATCTCCGTGCCATCATCCAAGCCTCCGACCTCCACCCCATCGACACCGGCAAGAACTCCCCCACCATGCGTTCCCTCTGCACCTGCGTCGTCTCCCTTGCCTGCCGCTCAAGCCCGACGGACGGCTATCCCCACTGGGCCGACGGCTACCCCCTCAACATGCACCTCTACACTGCCCTCCTCTCTGCTATCTTCGACCTCAAGGACGAGACCCTCGTCCTGGACGAGGTCGACGAGCTTCTCGAGCTCATGAAGAAGACATGGTCCACCCTTGGGGTTACCCGACCCCTCCACAACCTCTGCCTCATGTGGGTGTTTTTCGAGCAGTACGTGGTGACGGGGCAGGTCGAGCCCGATTTGCTTGGGGCATCCTTCACTATGTTGACCGAGGTGGCCAACGATGCCAAGAGGGCTGACCGGGATCCAGTCTACTTGCGGATGCTCGCAGGGGTAATGGGGAGCCTCACCAGGTGGTGCGAGAGGAGGCTGTTTAATTATCACGACAATTTCGGGAGAGGGACGCTGGGTGTCATGGAAAGTATTCTGCCACTCCTTTTCTCTGCTGCTAAGATATTGGAGGAGGATGTGCCGAGTTACGTCTTGCAAAGGGACGCCAGGGATGAGTCAGCCGGGAACCGGGTTGATTACTACGTTCGGTCGTCGTTGAGGAATGCGTTCGCCAAGGTTTGTTGTTCGAAAAAATAGAAAAATGGTGATTTCAAATGTCAAATTTGGAAACTCGTTTCTGCATAATGTCATCAGGATCTAAAATAACATGTGGATGGGTGGTTTTGCTTAAGGGATTCTGCTACTTATGTTTTGAATTTACTTGTTTTAATAAGTCAAGCACCTTTTACAAAACTAACTAAAAAAAGTGAGATTTCACTCTTGCCATTATGAAGGTACTCTCGTTTTTACTCATTTTCAGTTCCAACTTTTTTTTTTTTTTT